AGAACTTGGGCAGGGACAGTGATCTGGCCGCCTTTTTGTAACTTTTTCTCAGAAGAAAATCAACTGAATTTTTGTTCATAACACCCACTGTGTGACATGGAAGGGAATTCAGCAGAAGAAAGAAACTGGGGGAAGGTTACATTTCTCCATGGCTGTGCAGAACAGGAGTCTGGAATGCTTTTTTGGGGTGGTTCTTGGCTTATGGCAGCAGCTCAGCTGGTGTGGTGTGAAGCAGGTGTGCACAGGCTTCCCACTGTGGTTACTTGGCTCTGCTGGCTTCATTGGGGAGTTTCCTTCATGGATTGAATGGCCTGAGATTGGGTTTGATGTCTCTCATTCTGTTAGTGATGATGAAAGGTGAAAAGGGGAGTGAGGACTGAGCTGGTTGTTGCTGTGTTATGGGTGAGGACTGCCGGTGCTATGGCTGCTAAACTTTAATCTCATTTCAAGGGAAAAAAATTATTCTGTCTTCCTATAATCTCTTTTTAATTAGGAAGTATTTGATAATTTCAAATTGGCAGTGTATGAGGTAAACTATTCGATTAGAACTACCCTTAAGTTTCTTGAGGAGTATTATGTTCATTGTGTGGTTAAAATGTACAGTCAAATAATCCTCTTGAGGGGAAAAAAAATGGGGAGAAGGCTTGAGAAGAATGATACAAATCAGCCAGCACAGGGTGAACACTGCCTACAGAACTTGGCTCAGTCTTGGCTCCTCGTCAGGTGCCTGGGCAAGCAAGCACTAAATTTTTGCCTAAATGAAAACAAACCAAAAGATTCTTGTTTTAACTGTGTCTGTATGTACTTATGGCTGAATGTGCTGCTTAGGAATGCTTATGCTGTTGAACCAAGGATGGTAACTGGTATTGAATAGACTTCTGTTATCACACCAAACTAAAATCACTTGAAAAGGTTTGATTAGATGAAATTTCTGGTCTAGAAGTCTCCTTTTCAGGCTTTTTTTTCTATGTACTTCAAAATCTTGGATACAAAAATCTTATTGCAAAAGTGTGGGTGATATATTTTTTCTTCCCCTTTGTCTTTCCCAGTCTCCTGAGCTTAGATACACAAACTTCTTGATTTATCCTTTGGCCCTGTGATTTCATAGCTGGCAGAGCTTGTCATTGTGGCTGCAGAATTGTTGGAGAGGGGATGGGATCAGCTGAGCTTTGCAGCATCGCCTCAGTAGTGACTAATGGAAGAGGGTGGGAAACCTGAGCAGCTGAGTAAAAGCAAATAGAAAGGTCAATCGGCTAGAGTGGTATTATGGGCTACTGACCTTGTATTTTGACATGAGTGTCTTTTGTGGGGATTTCCAGCAGTTCTTGTAGGCAAAATCTGGTGAGTATTGACTGACTCATTCAGAAATATTGGGTTTTGTATGTGGTGACTTTCTTCAGTTCTTCCTAACTTTTCAGATACAGATTGAGAGTTGGTCTTGATGGTCTGGGGAGTCAGCTTTCCACTGAAGCAAACTTTCTGATGTTTAAAAGTCTTATTCTGTTGCTACAAGGTTTTGAGGCAGTGTTTGGCCTCTGCTTTCTAGGTATGTGACTCATACCTTAAAAGCAAAGCTATACCCATCTTGGTCTGTGCTGTTCTGCAGCCTGAGGAAGAAAGGCAAGAAGGCTTTTCTTTATACTGGAGTGGTTTGGAAATGTGACACTGGCAAAGCCATCTCTGCGAATATGCAGGGAATGGAGTTGAAGGTGCATAATTCTAACTTAATTTGAATTTCTAAAATATCAGGATGTCCTGGTTTAGGACAAATTAGGGGAAATCTCCAAAAGGGAGTCCCCCCCCCAAAAAAAAAACAAACCTCCAACCACCCCTCCCCCCAATACCGGGTTCGGGAAGGAATTTCTCAGAGGAGCAAAGTGGAAAACAAAACCTATTTATTGACAAATAACAAAAGAACACTCCCCAACACAAGAAAAGAAACCAGTCAGTGTTGTGGAGGGCGCCGAGCTTCTCTCGCAGACTACTCCGGAGATCCCGCCGGACGTCCCAGGTCAGGTCCGGAGCCGGTCCAGTATCTTCAGGGGAGGGTAAGAAAGAGAGGACGAAAGAAAAGAAAAAAAAAAAACAGCGCAGAAAGAAGCAAAGGGAAAAAAGGCAGCTGTCAGCTAGGCCTAAGGCAGTAGCAAGCAAGCAAAGCGGCAAGCAAAAGCAAGCAGGCCAGCCAGCCAGCAAGCAAGCAGCCAGCAAAGCCAAACAGCCGAAAGCGAAAGTGCCCCCCCAGTCCCCCTCACTCCTCCCTCCCCGCCCCACCGCGGCAAGACGGCCGGGGGGGGGGGGGGGGGGGGAAGAGAGAGAGAGAGAGAAAAAACACAGCTGCCAGACACAACACACGATACTGGGATAAAGGCTGTCACCCCACGACACAGGAAAATCTTGTTTAAAATGTAAGCTGTAAGACTTGGTAAGGCAGTTTGGAATCTGGAATTAAGTGGGCTCTGAACTGTGATATATAATATAGAATTCTATTGCTATATAGATGTCTATGTCTAAATGCCTCTAGTATTCTTTAAATGTTGCCTCTGTAATTTTTCGGGAAATAAGGATATATACTTGGGTGGAATGGAGTAAATGAAAGTAATCTGTATATACTGGAGAATAATTGATACACAGCAGGAGACTGTGTTTAGGTGTTTCAGTAAAAAGTGTGAAAACGTCGGTGACACCATTTTACAGATCCTTTGGGTTTAATGTTTGAACCCACTATATTTTCTGAGTAACTGGGAAGGAATTGTTATAGATGAGTAAATGGTTGGCTCTCACAATTAAGGGGTAAACATTATATGTATGTTAAAAGAAGTTTTATAAATGTATAGTTATGTTACTGCAATGTGCTCCCCCCAGTATGTGTTATAATGGGATGGTCTTGGTAATCTGGGCATTTGGGAAGGTTGGCTTGTTACTATGGCAGCACCTGACCTCCAATCAGAATGTAAGAAAGTGACTTCTACCACTGGACAGCAAGGGAGGAGTTGACTGAGAAAGGCTCTAGGAGGCGCTAGAGATGTAAAAAGGCAAAGCATCCATCTTTAAGATGAGCCAGCCACGTGGTAGACAGCCATGAGGGAGGTTCCCAGGCCTGTTCTTCCTTATTTAGTCCTTTTGTTGTATTATTGTTAAGGTTGAATAAACATTTGCAATTTTTAAAGCGAGCAGTTGTTTCTCAGAATGGGAATGGAGTGGGCAAGCAGATTTACTACAGGGAGAAATGCAAACAAAGAGATGGAAGGAGTAAAGGTATGTTGCCAGTGAGGTGTTGCTCTCTGGTACACGTAGGGAAATGGCATAGCTTCAAAGGATATGTGCTTTGCCACTTCTCTAAGGCATCTCATATCCGTTTTCCCTTTTTTTTATCTAGTAGAGCACTAATGCCTTCTCAGTGGGCTGTAGTGGGAGGTTGCGGCTTATGGGTTTGTTCTCTCCTGCTGACACTTGCTGATCATCATGTTTGGCTCTCTGGTCTGTATCCCCTCCTTTGCACAGGTATGTCTGTGCCTCACACCCTCTCTTCTGGGAGCCCTCCTGTGCTCCTCCATGTGCTTTCTGGGGGAGGTAGGGCCTCTCAGAGTCCTCACTAGCTATTGAAGATTAATGAACTTTCTTTCCAGCTGTGTCATGAAAACAAAGGACTGTTGTGTTCAGCCTTTGTCCTTGCTATGTGCAGGGACCCTTCAAGAAGCAGCTCTTCCTCCCCTCTATTCCAACCAGCATCTGCATGTTTGCTGCTTTCTTTTTATTAGTAGATAGTACTGAATAAAGTGCATCTTTGTGTGGTTTTCTAACTGTACAATTTATTGCTTGTGATACCTTGGGTGCAAAGGACTAACAAAACACTATTTTGAGTACCCAAATGGTTATGAGATGCTTAAAGTAAATAAGGGAAAGGTGAATAAATTGCTGCAAGTGGAATGATGCTTCAAACACTTGATCTGAAAATGTTATAATTTTTTCAAGATGAGGTTCACTGTAAAATAACACTTACTGTTACATGCTTTTGAGTTTGTTTACAATAGGATAAATTCAATTAAGACTGAATCCAGTAGACTGTCTTGCATGTCATGGACCTGCTTGTGTCTCTTCATTTTGCAATGCCTGCTTTTCTGGTCCTGTCATGGGTAAAAGGGGCTTCTGTATGTATTTCAAAATGCCTTGAGCATCTTGGGAAAGAGCCTGTTGTCACTGTGTCATGGCATACTTTATAATTCAGTCCCCAAAAATCAAAGACAAATATTTCATTAACTTTCTGCTTTTATTTCAGACTGTATTTACTCAGTTAATGAATGAGAGAAATTCCATGTAGGCATATACTATTACATAGTAAGCCTTATTTGCATGCAACAAACTGCTTGAACTCCTACTTGACAGTTCAAGCAGTGGCTCCTTCATCTCCCAGGGAAGAATAAAGTTTTAAATAACACTTAGTGATAAAAGGAAGCAAATGAAGAGTTCTCAGTTAATTGATTTTATCTATACCCTATACCGGTTGCAATACAGACACTTCTCTCACTTGTAAATGCTTAATTTGCTTTTAGGTCATACTTGTTGGTGGAAGACTAATATATCAGCAAACTTGTGCGTGAACCTTTACTCCTTTTGCAGGATCTTAGAAATAACTGAAGTGTACCCAATCAATGGAAAAAATTTAAACCTACTAGTATGTATGGGATAATCACAAAGGTGGCTGATGGAGGAAAAAGTCATTCATGTTTATTCACCATCTAATAGCAATTGAGGAGTTGCTGGGCTAAACCAGCCCAAGAAACATTGCTAAAATAGTCTGTGGCTATAAGTATCAGAGGCCTGTTTGGAAATAATAGGTATAAGTTGATACTGGTTTTGCTGATGTGGCTTGCAGAGATGCAAACAGCTGCTTCTGGTTTCACCCTATGGTTTCTTGAAACTCTCAAACAGCTTAGATGATTTTCTTGTGGCTTTCTAAACTTGGATGTCTTGCCAAACTTGTATATGTTTCCTTTAAACAGGTTGCAAAATAAAAGCACTAAGGGCCAAGACAAATACTTACATTAAGACCCCTGTTCGGGGAGAAGAACCAGTCTTTGTTGTCACTGGGCGAAAGGAGGATGTAGCCATGGCTAAAATGGAAATTCTCTCAGCTGCTGAACACTTCTCCATGATCAGAGCATCACGCAACAAGAGTGGTCCTGCTCTGGGAGGCCTGTCATGTACCCCTGATCTGCCAGGTCAGATGACAGTCCAAGTCAGGGTGCCTTACCGTGTAGTTGGGCTGGTGGTTGGACCAAAAGGAGCTACAATCAAAAGAATTCAGCAGCAGACCCATACCTACATAGTCACCCCCAGCAGGGACAAGGAGCCAGTCTTCGAAGTCACAGGAATGCCTGAAAATGTCAACTGTGCACGTGAGGAGATAGAGATGCATATAGCCATGCGTACTGGGAACTACATCAAGCTGAATAAAGAGAATGATTTCCACTACAATGGTACAGATGTGAGTTTTGAAGGAGGCACTCTCAGGTCTGCATGGCTTGCTTCTAATCCTGTCCCTCTTAGTTGCACCAGAATGATTTCTAATTATAGGAATGACAGCTCCAGCTCCTTGGGAAGTAGTTCCACAGATTCCTGTTTTGGAAGCAATAGATTGGCTGATTTCAGCCCAACAAGTCCATTCAGCAAAAGCAACTTTTGGTTTGGAGAAACATTGCCTTCAGTGGGCATGGAAGACTTCGCGGTTGACTCTCCTGTGTATGACTCCTTATCAATGCCTTCCCAAACCATTTGGACTCCTGGCTTTGGTAGTGACCCTGCTATTAATACTAAGCCTCAATGCCGAGGGAGACAGCCATCTACTCCTTGCCTGTCACCCACATTTCCAGAAAGCCTGGATCATCTGCTGGCTGGGAGAGCGAATAATGACCCACCTAGCACTGGCCACCAAGTAGGCCTTCCTATCTACATCCCTGCATTCTCCAATGGCACCAACAGCTATTCATCTTCCAATGGTGGCTCCACATCCAGCTCACCCCCTGAGTCAAGACAGAAGCTCAACTGCGTGATGTGCTTCGAGAACCAAGTTGTTGCGGCTCTGGTCCCCTGTGGTCACAATCTCTTCTGCCTGGAGTGTGCCAACAAAATCTGTGAAAAGGAAGTCCCATTGTGTCCTGTTTGCCAGACAGCTGTTACTCAGGCAATTCAAATTCACTCTGAAATAGAGATGTTATAGGGATATTATTATATGTGGACTTTTAAAGACTTGAAGTCATAGATGTAATGGTACCCTCTAGTAAACTTTCAAATGAATTCTGACTGTTTGACTTCCTTGGGATTAGACTGAAGTTATTAATAAATTTTTACTTTCTCAAAAGGCTGCTATGGTAACACTAAACTTAAGGGGTCTCTGTCTGGTACAGTGTAAGCAGATGGCATGTTTAGCAGAGATACATCTGGTATAATGTTATGGCACAGTGAGGGCAAGTTTTCATAAACTACACAACTGAAAAAAACCCTAAAAATTTCCAGGCTTTTCTAAAGGATCTCTGTTAATTGTTTGGCTTCTGTGAGTTGGCAGCAATGAACCTTGTTGCCTAAATGCAAAAGTACTTGTCTGCTATGGAGGATGTGTAGTATTATCTATATATCAAACAACACTTCAATGCTATCTTCTACCAGCTTTGAGGAAATATTTTTTTCTTTATGTGACAACTTATACCTAATTCTTCAGCATTGGAAATATCTTTTAAAGTATAGTTTGATTTACTGAAACGGATTGTGTTATTTGGCAGGTTCAGATAATAAATGACAGGTGGGAAGAGAGAAACTGCCAGATGCACCTCCATTTTGTCCTTGATAAGGGCAGTATGTCCAGAGGATCAGGAATGTCTCAATTTGTGAATTCCTACCCACTGCTTTTGTGAGGGTAATGTAGAAAAAGTCTGTCTGGCTTCATCCAGTTACAGTAAGGGCTTTGGGATGCACATACTTTGACTAAGAGTGATGATGCTGACATTCTGTTCATTAGTCTGATCAAGCTGTTCTTGACCTTTTTTAGAGAGTATATCGTTCAAAATGTGAAGCATTTTTATGTTAAATTCATGTCTTACACATAAATATCTATTTTTAGTAAGAAAAAGGAAAAAGAGGGAGTTGTGTAAATGTCCTTGTATTATTCATGACAGCAGCTGTGACAGTGGCCCTGTAATCAGTTTACTTCATTTCAAAACTGTCTTTCCAAAAAGAAAAAAAGTCTCTTGAATGAGCTTCTTACATTTCAACCTGTGGATGTTTCTAGCTTTTTCATCCTCAGTACATTACCAAATCTGTGCTGACATACATTAAAACAGCAAAAACAAAAACAAAAAAAAACCACAAAAGTATGTATTTTTTTCTCTTTTTTAAAGCATTCTTTTCCCAAGACAATCTTTTTCTCAGTGTAACAACAAAAAAGAAATTATGTATTAAACTAGTAAATATGCAGAAAATTTTATTTTTATTTCCACTTGAAGAGTTACATTTCGTATAAAAGTTTACAACTAGGAGTTGCCTTGAAGGCATATTATGTACTGCAGAACTTTAATATAATTGCTTGCAGGATAGTTACATGTCAGTATTAAAATCTGATCTCTAGCTACAGTCCTGTAGATGCGAACAAATGTTCACTGAGTGTGTATTTTGTTTTATTGCATTGTACACTGCAACTAATAAGCCAAGGAATCAATAGACATAAGGTAGGTGTACCACTTCTATAAACCACAAACTAAGAATAAACTGATAAACTATTGATCTAGCTTAGTTTTTGCTAATTTTACTACACTCTTTGTTATGTATATGTAGGGAGGTCATAGGCATTATAAATTAAATTTTGGTAAAGTTTAAAAACTATATATTTTATGATAAAGGGCCTTTAAATTATGATGGCCAAAGCACTGATATTATATATTTGTTGTAAAGAGAATTATAAGAGTTTTATTTTTCTGATATTAAAAATTACTTAATAAAGACTTGTTTCCATTAACTTGAATGTTTTGCTCTCTTCATAGTTGTTACTTGGAGCAGCTTAGGCAGGCTGGGGCTGGCTGATGTCCCCCACGCAAGCAGGGGCATTCCTGGTGCTTAGTATTTCATGTGAAGGGCTCAGGCTGGTGGGATCCCATTCCAGTGCTGCAGAGCTCCACTCCTGAAAGAAGTTTAACTGGTATAAACAAAAATTGAGGGGTTTTGTGGTTTTGTTTTTTTTTTTTTTTGGTGGGTTTTTTCTCCCAAAATACCCTTGGCTCAATTTTTCCCAAAGTTGCATGGAAGAGTTTCCAGGAGCTGCTGGGTTAAAGTTTAAAATAAATCCATGCAAAATGAACTGAAGTAGCTGAGAGGAGGGTGCAGATTGTTGCTAAGAAAACAAATGGGTTTTGGGCAAATGAGCTGCACCAGGAACTGTAGAAAATCTAAAATATTGAGGCTGGCAGGTACCTGCCCCAGGGTGTGACATTGTTTAGTGGTGGACTTGGCACGGCTGGGTCAATGGTTTGACTCAATGGTCTTACAGGTCTTTTCCAATCTAAACCATTCTCTGTCCATAAGTCAAGGGGGAAAAGAAATATGGACCATATAGTCACATAGGTTGAAAAAGACCTTTAAAATCAGAGTTCAATTGTTAACTCAGCACTGCCAAGTCTACCCCTAAGCCATGTCTCCAAGTGTCACAGTAACATGCTTTTTAAATCCTTCCAGGGATGGTGACTCCATTACTACTCTGAGGAACCTGTTCCAATGCCTGACCACCCTTTCAGGGAAGAAATTTTTTCTAATCTCCAATTTAAACTGCCCCTGGCACAACATGACACTCATCCTACTGCTTGTTACTTGGGATGCTCCATGCCTGCTCCCCACTTGAGGTCTGCTCCCTCAACCTGTGCTAACCTGAGTGGCATGTCAGTGGTGCATCCCTTCTTCCTGCTGTTGACACCAGCTGCCCAGGTGTCCCCATGGATCCCTAGCCACAGCAGCCATTCCCACCTCTGCTATCACCATACTATGTGCCCTTGGTCATGTCACTACACCCAGAGGCAGCTTCACTGCAGCACCCACACCTGCCATCCTCGTACTGGCCATGCAGCTTCCCTGCTCTGAGCATGGCCATGCTGCTTTGCACTGCTTTGGCTGCATTGACTTCAAGACAATGCTTCACCCTGACTCAAGAAATCAACAAAATCAACCTAAACTGCCAGTCTGCCCCAGGGTGTCCCCATCTTCTGCTGCCATCCTATATCTATGAAGAACATGACCAAAAGGAGACATGACACATGACCCACATAATCTGTGGGATGCTCCCAAAGCTTCCCTCCCTTCCCCCCCCCCCCCATGTTTTCAGACATAGAAGATGGAGCACTAGTGGACATCTAGTGGCACCTGCCCCAGATGCCCAAAGGCAGCTACAGAACCCCCTGGTGCATAGCCATCACCCTGTGGCAAACCCAGCCTTGTGTCCCTTGGGTCACTCCAGTACTCCCATGGACATGCAAATAGTAACATTGTGGACAGGAGTCTGACATGGGGCCATCTTTCAGCCCCTGGGGCAGCACAGAGGTGCTCAGACTGAGACATTTTGGGACAGCTTTAGCTTTGTGATATGGATTTATTCTATGCCTACAGACACATGGTTGTATCAGAGGGTTTAAATGCACATAATGTGCTGGTATATAGTTTCTCAGTGCTCTAAAGGCAAATACCAGTGTGCTATCCAATGCTTTTACCTTGGTCACAACAATGACTAGCCACCAGTTACAAAATAATTGCTAAGTACAAGGAGGGAGCATCTGAAAAGCTCTCTGGAGAAGTATGGAGCTAAAACTGCTTTAAGGTGGCTTATGGAGGGATTGCAACTAAGCAGGAACATCTTGGCCACAGAGAATTCGAGGATTTGATGTTTCTGTATATATAGGAAGCTGTTTGGGGGTGGAGAGGAAGTATAATCTTTCACATTTCAGTTATTAGTCTAGTACCTTAGGATATACAACTTATGCATCCATGCCTTCCAGCCTGCCAGAGCTACCTGTGAAGCCCCAGACTCAAAGTGGGTGGGCACTGAGGCATTCTGTTGTAACCATTCCTCTCAAACAGGGCACCAGATCTGCAGTGGAGAAAGAAGGAATTTTTACCCTCCCTCATGCTCATAAATCACTGGAGTTCAGAGTTGGTGTTTTAAGGATTTTTATTTTTTTTAATCCCATATCTGTCGCTATTGAGTAAGAAATGGCACACTCATCAGAAGGCTGATTGGCATAAGGTGCGCGCCATATTTGGAACTACTCCTTTTTATAAGCTGTTCCAATCCAGGTAGATTTGGTTGGTCATTTAGTTAATACATTTCACCTGATTGGCTAATTAACAAGATGCCCTTCTTATAAACAATCTTTGAGAAAAACAAGAAAACAGAGAGTAGGAAAACAACACCTGCAGGTTGTTTATAATAATAAGCTATCATTGTTTATCTTCAACTCCCTAAAGTCTCTCAGGCTGATTCTGGGAAAACTTATCTAGTTTTCTCACTCTCTGACCAGGCTGTCACCTGTGGAGGTCCCCCTTTTTGTTTAAAGGAGGAGGCGGTATTTGTAATCCTCTGTGGGGCCCCTTGCAGAAAGGAGAACAAACAGAGCTCCAGAGGTTCCTCTAGAAGTTGCTAGTTATCAATCAGAACCTCAATCGGACGCCATTTTGAAATGGTCTGAGAGATCAAATCTTGTGATTCCCTCTTACAAGAAATACACTAATGATCTTAAAATCAGTTACTTATTCTAATACAATATCAAGTCTAATATAGTAGCAACTTATCATTAGTTTGTTCAAAGAACTGAAACAGAGTGAAAATTCAACAGGGTAAAAATCCATTTCGGATTTAGGTGAAATGTGCCATTTTGAATTATTTAGTCTGTAGCTTGCTTGCATAGATGAAATATGTTGTTTAGTCTGTTAACTGTGCTGTGCTTAAGACTGCCTGTTCTCACAAAAAAGCCTGTGCTCACAAAACTGTCTCAGCCTAGGAAAAAGAATGCGAACTTCCAAGCTGGAAAGAAAGATAAGGGGGAGGCCCCTTGAACTTTGAAACAAAGACGAGAGCCAAAGCTGAGGCTGCAGGAGACGGACAGGATGACCCAGGAGTTCTTTCTGTACAAGGACTGATAAAAAAAACTAGCTGCAAGTGTAACGCAAAATCAGTAAAATGAATATGCA